AGGTGTTGGATGTAGCTGTTAAGACCCCTGTGTCCCGTCTCATATCAGCGTGCCGGATGGAGTCCCTGCTGCACTCCCAACTCTGACTTTTGGGATGGGAACCAGGACAGGAAATCTCTGTATGTATGTCTAGGTTTCTGTCTTTCTCTACCTCTTCAAAGAAAGAAATAAAAATTTGAAAAATCATTCTTGGTAGTTTACCAGTTCTCAACCTTGTGTTTATTCCACTTTGAACATTTTGCTTCAAAAGTATATTTCATAGTTTCACTTTTTTTACCTTGAGAGAAAGAGCAGGTAAACTGCGCAACACGTGCAAGCTGGCGTTGTTTCTCATGGTGTGTGGTTTGGACCTAGTTCTGAAGGAGTTGTTTTGTAAGAGGTCAGCATCAAAGAAAGTGATTCGTGTGGAGATGGGAGTGGACACATAGTCAGCATTGCAGGCTTGGCCTGTGCGCGCTCGGGGTGGCCACCCGAGACAGGCCTGCTGCTCTTCAAAGCACACAGCCCTCATCGTCTCACCTGAAACCTCCCTGGGCCCTGGAGGCCACATTCCTAGAGATTTTAAGTGCTGATTTTTGCTCTGAAAAGTCTCTCTTGATTGTGCGTAGTTGGCTTTAGGATCACTTAGTGTAGGATTCTGTTTAGGAATTGTAATATGTCTGGATGTTCAAGTGAGGCCCTGGTTAGGGCATAGGCGAGCCTGTTGCCTGGGATGCTGAAAACGGATGCACTTCTGCTGATGTCTGTGTTTCCTGCACCTGTGCTGTTTGTCCTGGTGGATTTCAGCATCTTTCTGCTGGTTGTGCAGTGTCTCCATCTTGGGAGGGATGACCATGCTGTCTGTGAGTCTGGTGCATTCTCAAGGGGGGGGCATTGTGACCCTGGTGAGACAGGTTGGAGCTGAGACGTCAGTAACGCTCACTGACAAGCGCTCAGCCACTCCGTTCCAGCCTGAAGCTGGCTTTCCTTTGTTCGTGCTTCCTGTTCTTGCCACATCTTCCCGCCTGGAACTACCCAATAGGACTTCCTTGTTTGTAAAGTACCCTAAGCACTGGAGTCTTGCCATTACCATACTGAAGATTATATCCAAATCTTTTGCATTAGCAAATGTAAATTTTCCAGTGACCGGGATGCCTACTAAAATGCCTGGATAGATTTTTGAAGACTCCTCAGCAAAATTTCATTGGCAGTGTAGAAATAGGTGCTGGCAAGTAGATGTGACCAAGAAAGGGATGAAATTCAGGAGCGAGAGCAGGTGCTCTCCCTGGAATGACCCAGTAAGCTGACTGTGGCTGTGCCGGCTTCCTAAAAGCATTGGTGAATTGAATTCATCACAGAAGTAATTTTTTACTAATGATGAGAACACTGAGGCTTATGCATGAGAATTGAAGGCATTACAGGATGACCTGGAATGCCATCCTTCACTGTTCTTCCTTTGAAAAAGAGAGGAAAGGGACAACGTTGAAACATACTGTCACTTCTTAGCTGCCAAGTTTGTTTGACAGGCAGAGACACACACGGATGTCCACCCATTGGTTCACTCCCCGAATATTGACAACAGCTTGAGTTGGATCAGGCCAAGCCAAGAGCCAGGAACTCTCCAAGATGGCAGGGTGTGCACTAGCAGGGAGCTAGGATTGGAGATGATGCCAGAATCGTTGCCCAGGCACTCTGACACGGGCTGCCCGCATCCCTCGCGCTGTCTCACCACTCCCTTTGAGAAGAGTTCACCTCCCTTAGCCATGGCTTCACTTTGTGTGGTTTTAGTTACTTGCTGGCAAACTGTGACTCCAAAAGAGTGACTGGAAAGTTCCAGAAAGAATTCAGAAGTTTTAAATAACTTAGAAATGCTTTCAATTTTAAACACATATTTGCGGGGAAAGGTGTGATAATATGATATATTTCTACGATGTGTATTGATGGAAGGTAATAAGCATTTCCATCTTATAAATGTTATCACACTATATTTTTTACAGTTGTCCTTTTTGTTATTGTCAGTTTCTCACTATGACTAATATAGAAATGAAACTTTATTGTAACTATCCAGGCACAGGAAAACAAACAAGCAGTATGTGTAGGGTTGGGCATGCAACGTAGTTTCCGGTGTCTGGGACTGAATCCCCAGAACGAAGAGGGACAGCTACGCCATTGGAGGCTGTGATTCAGGACGTGTTGTTGAGCTTTGCTCTTCCGCGAGGTTTGTTCTGTTTGTCCAAATCTGGGCAAGCCTGTGGTGGTGTCTGTGCATGAAAATATTACAAACATGTCACGTCTCCTACCTGCCGGATGGGAGCAGGACTGACCCCAGCAGAAGCCGGTGCTCAGCGGGGTGCTGTCCCAGTGACAACTGAACCCAGCCTTGGGCCGGGACACAACGCGGCACTTCACCCACTCTTCCTCTGCTGGACTGTGGGTGCGCTTGTGGCTTCCCCGCTGAGGCTCAAGGGAGCCGGTACAGTGAGTTCTCCGATGTCATTGTATCAGGGGCTCTGTCCCCTTCTTCCCAGTCCCTTAGTGCACAGAGCACAGCCCAGTCCCCTAGGAGTTGCCTCCTTCCATCTCCTCCACACACACACACTTGCACGTGTACACACACACACACACACACCCCTTCTCAGGCCACAGGGATTCAAATGAATGGCAAGGAAATGAACTCAGGTGTGACACGGATAGATGGATGGACGCTTAGAATTTTGGCCCCCTGCATCCCACACAATCGGGTTATTTATTTATTTATTTTTTAATAGCAGCAACAACAAAACCTCAAGCCAAAGTGCCATTAAAAACCTTTACATAATTGTAGCAGGTTTGGGTTTCCTCTGGTTCGAGTTTTCTTGCCTCTTTGATAATCAGACGATCTGAAGAAAAGCATAGGATTTCAGGGGAGAATGCGCATGACAGACTCACAATGGGCCCATTCAAGGAGGTCTCTTTCAGGAGCTTAAACAGGATCTGCACCACTCTGAATCTCTGGCTTTGCTACAAGGCTCCATTTAAACTTAACCCAACTTGCAGACTTAACTGATCCAGGAAAAACTCAATGCAGGCAGCCAGCTTCGGTAGCTCTTTCCCCGCTGATAAGCGACCTGGGCACAATGGGCTTTAACAGTTCTTAAATGACTCCATTTTTCTTCTGTCTTTGAGATGTGCTGCTTATGTGGCCTTTTGTTCTTAATAAAATTTCACATGACTTGATCACGTTTTTTTTTTGAGAGTATAAAGCAAGCACAATGTTGACTCCCTAACTTCAGAGCGGATGGTGCGGAAGTGAAAATCATAGGTTGTGTTACCAAAGTTGAATTTAAGATAGTCTATATTCTTGATGATTAGATTATTGTTAGACCTGAAAATAGGAGACTTTGGAAAGTTCTTGAAGAATGAAAAAAAAAAAAAGTGCACTTCGCTGCTCTTGGTGCAAGACATTTTTGAAATACATAACTTTTTAATACTTTGTATTCTCCATGGCCTTTTTAAAGACTTGTGTTATTTCTTTAAGTTAGAGGGAAATAAGCTCTGGTTAGCACATCAGCACCAATATCTGAACACTTTTGGTCCTTTTCACTGCTTTACATGCAATGGCAGTTTAGCTAACAGTTCAGTGAAACTGACCAGGTCATCAACAACTCTGAAATGACCAAAGTGCTAATATGAGGGAACGTCCAAAAAGTGAAATTAAAACATAAGATTTTTTTTTGGTGCAAAACAAACATAGAAATAATAGAAATCCATGCACAGTGTTTTCATAATGAATACACATTTCCTTGACCTTTCCCAGGACCCACTATTCTACTGTTTCCTGTCAGGGCATACGCGGTTGTCCCAGAGTAGCTGGGGCGGGGGGAGGATCTCTGAGATTAAATTGGAGTGGAGACTCCTCTGGGATATATCCGTTCATCACCCCCCTGAGCACAGGAATACCCACACTTGGCTTGCCTCTAAGGAGTGGTCCCCAAACTTTAGTTGGAACAGGAATCACTGGGATGCATGTTAAACATGCAACTGCCTGGCCCTTATCCTGGAGACGGATTCGCTCCATCGGGATGGGACCTGAGAATATGCATTTTTTAACAAGCACCCCATTGAGGACCCTCGGGTGATTATACAACTGTGGTAGGCCTCGCTATTCTAACCTCACGAGGAACCATTTGGGAGCCACACTGCCTCTCTTGCGGCACCTGTTGCCCCCAGATGAGCAGGGACCCCCTTCAGCAGGAGAGACTCCTGGGCTGATCTTCAGGGGTTGCAAATGCAGGAGGTATGGGCAATGCCAGCTCCCTCTGTCCACTGCCCACCCTCCTATTCCCAGGAGCCTGCCTTGCCTGGACTGGCTGGGACTTGAGGATTCCTCTCACGTCCGCCCCAGCTGTGTAATTAGAATTTCAGAGCGGTGTTATCTGTAGCAATTAATCCAACCGATTTCACTCCCTGCCTCCCCCAGCCCCATTAAATGTAATTTTAGCCTTTCAGAAGCACAGGCCTTTTCCAAAACGGATTTCCAATTAGAAGCGGATTCTTGAGAAATCTTTTGGACAACGACACGTCAAAAGTGTGTGTCCATTTGGTGAGGATGGGAATTTTTCCTTGGAGATTGGTTGCTTGGTGGTCAGGCAGACAGGGAAAACAGGTGCTGGTGATGGGTGTGGGTGTCCACCGCCTTTGCCTCGGGGGGCTGTTATGTGTTCAGTTTGCGGCATCCACCCCCGGATGGTTGGCGGACTTGATAATTATGAGAACTTAAGATTTTTTTTTTTTTTTTTAATGATGAGAATGTTCAGAGCTACGTCAGGCTGGAAAGAATGGCAAACTCCCATACAGTCATCACTCACCGGCAATGTTATCAACTTGTATCGTCTCCTCAGCAGTTTTTTCCCTTGTTCTTGGGTGTTGCAGGTGGTTTTCTAATGCCGTGAAAGTGCTGGAATGGGTTGGTGGATGTGACGGGATGTGCTTGGCGCCTGAGTGCAGGGGCCAAGGGTGGTAACACACTGTGTCCTCCTCAGGAATGCGTTCCGGAAAACCTGGACCTGAAAAAGAAGATTTTTGCTCAGTTGGATCGCATGGTGGACGACCGAGTAGTTCTGAGCAGCTCCAGCTCTTGCCTCCTGCCTTCCAAGCTGTTCGCCGGCCTGGCGCACGTGAAGCAATGCATCGTGGCCCACCCCGTGAGTGTGTCCTTCAAAGAGCCGCTTGTTGGTGGTGCACAATGATTTTTTGAAGTGACGCCCCCTCCCATCCCTGGCACAAAAAGTTTTCTTCCGAAAGTTTATGGAAATGTGTATTATGAGAAAAAAAAAAATGCTTGGATAGCAAACATTTTTGTATCAAAACTTACATCTTCATCTTACGTTTCTATGAACCTTTAAGAAAGTTCATTTAAGAAGTAGGAAAAGAGAGTGAGAGAGAAAGGACAGGAGAGGGAGAGAGAGTGAGCGAGCTGGTGAGATCTTAATCCACTGGTTCATTGCTCAGATACCTACACCAGCTGGGTTGGGGCTGGAGCTGGGAGCCGGCAGTGCAGTCTGGGCCTCCTGCCTGGTGGCAGCTTGTTGAGCTGTCATTTTCTGTCTGCCACGGTGCAGAGTCAGGAGCTAAGTGTCCAGCCCAGGCACACGGGTGTGGAACATGAATTAGAGCTGGCAGGCCAAGTACCCACCCCTCATGGCTGTCTTCTTAGAGTACAATAGTTTTTAGTACGCATGCAGTTATGTGTTACCAGCATTTTACAAAAAAAAAAAAAAGAGTTTGATCCAAAACTGTTGGAGTGAATGCATGAGGGCATGGAAAAAGCCAGAGTTTGAGCCCTTCATGGTCCCGTCCTTGACCAGGTAGCCGTGGGGGTTGACTGCTAGACAGTTTCGACTTTACTCTCCAAGGTAAAGGGCTTTGTGAAGCTCGCACAGCCCAGTGGGATGTCAGGGAGCTGCTGTGACAAGTATCGATAACAAAAAGTACAAAAACTGAACAAAAACAAAACTGGACAAAATTGTGTTCGGTTCAGTAAATGCAATCCACAGTGCTGCCAGTCTTGTAAAATGCCCACTCTGCCTTCCACTCCTTGGGTTCTGATCCAGGCAGTGGGACTTCCTCCTGCCCTCTTCCTTCCTCTTCCATCCCTCCATTCAAGTTTACTTGGCCCTGTAATTCATTGGGAGCATTTTATTGGAAAGGCAGATTTTGCAAAAAATAGAAGGAGAGGCAGAGAGATTTTCCATCTACTGGTTAACTCCCCAAATTGGCCACAATGGCCAGAGCTGAGCTGATCTAAAACCAGGAGCCAGGAGCTTCTTCCTGGTCTCCCATGAGGGTGCAGGGTCCCTGAGCCATCCCCCAGTGCTCTCCCAGGCCATAAACAGAGCGCTAAATCAGAAGTAGAGCAGCCAGGATATGAACACGTGTCCATATGGGATGCCGACACTTGTAGCAGAGGCTTAGCGTGACAAGCCACCGTGCTTCCCCAGGGAGCACTTTGTCCTCACACTGGACAATGAGCTCCCCCACTGACCTGCAGGCACTCGGCGAATGTTCTTGAGGTTGATGTACTGATGTGAGCAAAGAGTAGCAAGAACAGACATGTGTGCCCTGATGTGAGCTCAGCCTGACCTCGGGAAACCAGGACAGCCTGTTAGGGCGGGAAAGGAAACAGCTCAGTCTGTGCCAATCGTGGTAGTGTATAATGGTGGCCTCACCCCTGGCGTCATCAGGTCATCAGAGGTCAAGGCTGGGGAGAAGGAATGCAGAGGAGCCTGGGTAGGATCTGGTGGGCCTGATAAAGGGAAGGATGTTTTTGGACTGGGCAAGGGCCAAGCCGAGACTTGAGGCCAAGGCGTGGGGAGTTGTGATCAGACCTGTGCGGCTGGAAAAACAGCCGTGCTCCGACTTGAGGAGCAGTGGGAGGATGCCAGGAGGTGGGAGTATCCAGAAATGTGTGGGACCAGGAAGGTTCCAGAGCTTAGAAATATATGTATGGAGTTCCCTGCTTTGGGAGACCCTAACCAGAAGACCCAGACCCTGAGCTTCTCCAGGACCTGTGGCTTTCTGAGCATCATGCTGGTACTCAGCTGGTTTTTTAAATTTTGGAACATCTGAGTCATTGGATTCCCTAGTTAGGGATACCCACCAGTGGCCATAGAAGACCCAGAGAATCACTCTAAGAATGGACTCCAGCTCAGACAGTGAGCCGAGCCTAGGGTGCTGGGAGACCTGCTTTGGGAGGGAGGTGAGGGCCTTTCTTAGGAGGAAGGTGGGGAAGGGACGGACGTGGGGGTCACACACACAAGGCAGGGGGATTTGTAAGGAACGAGTGACCAGGGTCAGGAATGGCTGTGTCTGAGTAGGAGCAGTCGAAGGACCTGGAGAGAAAGGGCGGAACATGGATTCCTAGCACGTATTGCATGCTGTGGAGCACACATACAGCTGTCTGATTCTGGATGTGACCACCTATGGATATACAGGGAAAGAGTGAAGGATGCTTATACAGTGCACGGAGACCCGGACCATGGACTGTTGAAGAGGGCCAGCCAAAGATACAACTCAGGTGCCAAGAGGGGCCAAATTGAAAGCACCCAAATATCAAGTCCACGAAACTTGCTCTCTGATCCCTCGATGTACATGAGGGTATTTCAGAAAGTTCACTGGGGGACAAGGGAGAAGGGCAGTGCTGTGGTACCGTGGCTAAAGTTTCTGCCTGAAGTGCTAGCTTCCCATATGGGTTCCAGTTCGAATTTCTGCTGCTCTAACTTCCGATTCAGCTCTCTGCGAATGTGCCTGGGAAAGTAGTGGAGGATGGCCCAAGTGTTTGTGGACTCCTGCACCCACATGGAGGAGTTGAAGGCAGCTCCTGGCTTCAGACTGGCCCAGCCCCAGCCATTAGCTAGTTTGGATACAGAATACTTGCCCATGCTTTCCCATGGAGTGTGTGCCATGCTCTCGTGGGTGCCCGCAGGAGGGACTGTTACAAGCTGTGAGCCACTTACCAGGTTGTAATGCCTGATTACAGTGTTGACACTTGGCCACTTCTGGTTTCGAATCAGTGTTTTTACTTTTAACATAAGTTAAAAAAAAATTAGCTGAATCAGATTATTTAAAAGTTACGATCCACATTCCTTCACAACTTTGGCCACGTTCGATTCTGAACCACCCAATGGGTGAGACGACACCTGGTCACTTTCCCTTTGGTCACACCCAGCCCAGTGCTCTGTTGGGTAGTAAGCTTTCTCTCCTCCTAGCCCAAGGTAAACCGCCTTTCAAGTTTCATCCCACCAGCCTCTGGGGGTGCCAGGGAGGAAAACACCTCCCGGAAACCGGCCAGGCGGTTACTAGGTAACCCGGAACCCTTCCGTGGTTCCAAGGAGGGGCACGGACAGTTGGCCAAGGCGCAGCCCTCAGCGCTGGGCCTCTGCACGGGGCAAGGGATGAGGGAGAGGTCCCAGCACGATGGCTGTTCCCTGTCCCCACCCTGCACAGGCTCCCCGACACATCATCCAGATGTTCTCTTGGGCCCTCGTGCAGGGATAGAGCCTGGATTTTCGGGTGTCCCGGGGCAGGCACATCTGCTCAACCGCAAGGTAGTCCAGATCAGGCTTAGTACAGGCGGGGCTAGCACAGAGCTGGGGAGGGTGGCTGAACACTCTGCCGAGCCGAAGGCCCCGTGGACAGGCATGTTGGTTGAGAACTGTCTGGAAGTTACCTTGGATCCCAGGTTGTTGTCACCTGGAGTATGTCGGGCTAAGCTCAGAGCAGCAGTGGGTTCAGGATGGGCCTTAGACCTGAGTTTGGAACAGGATGGGCCTCTGCCTGCTGGATGAGCCAGGCTGGGTGGGCTCCCTGCAGCTCCGACCCACTAGGCCAGGACCTACCTACTTGCGTTGGGCAGGCCCCAAATGTACCCCAAAGCATATTTTTTTTGACTCCACCTCCTGCCTGACCCAGAAACCATCTGCCTTTGTGTTGGCGGAAGATTAAATATTTGGCAGGCTTGTTGTCTGCGGAGCACATATGGGGTTGTGTGGCCATTGTGACTAGGGTTATGGGTGATGCATAAGGGTAACTACAGAATACTAAGCTCATGAGACATTATATGTATAATTATTCATAGTATAACTGTGTATTATTGTAATGTTATTATATGATAATGTTATATCTGTAAATGTCCCTTGAACTCATTCCTATATAGAGTGATAAAACGCACATAGCATCAAATGTAACTCTTCAGCCATTCTTAGGAGACCAGTTTAGTTCCCTGTCCACCTGCAAAGTGTTTGCCTCTTGGTCAGCCTGAGACTGTGAGCCCAATAGGCCCCAGCCAGGGCGACTACCCTTCTTTCTGTTTCCTGTCCCTGAGGATGGGACAGGCTCCTGTCTCAGAAATGACAGCTCCTGCTGGGATGAGTCATGGGGGCCAAGACCCAGGTCTGGAGCGGCTCTGAGCAGCTACAGGGTGGCTGTGGCAATGGCTGCTTGGAGAGATGTGGGTGGAAGTTGCATGGCTATACTCCCTGAAGATGGGATGGGAAGATGGGAGGCGAGGCAGAGTCAGGGCCCAAGGATGTGTCTGCTGGTTCTGACTTGGGTTGGGGATGCCGCACATGCTCACTGCGACATGGAGCTGGGAGGGGTTTCTGGGGGCAAGGGTGCAGGTTAAAATGACCTCAGTGGGCTTTCATCTCATGGTGTGTCCACAGGAGGGGGTCTGGTGCCTGGGTGAGACCTGTGTGGGACTTGAGAGTATCACCCGATTGCCCTCGTGTCTTGGTGCTGGTGCAGACAGATGCCAGTGACAGCTGTCGCCCAGGGACGGAATGGGCAGAGGCTGTAGAGCCAAGCCCAGGGCACCAATGGGCTGCATGTACAAATGCTCTGGCATCGTTTACCTTGGCCTGAGTTTGCTTCCTGTGTTGAAAAGACCACGAACCCAGCTTATACAGTTTACAGGCATGTGTCCTGTTTATCATTCCATTTGCTTTAAATAAGTTGCTTATTTGAAAGGTGGAGTCTCTCTCTCTCTCTCACACACACACACACATACACACACCCCTCCTCTTGTTCACTTCCCAAATGCTTGCAATGACTGGGAAGTGCAGGGAGGCAGTGTTGAGGTTGGGAACTGGGAACTTAGTAGGTCTTCATGTGAGCGGCAGGGACCCAAGGACCTGAGCCATCACTCCTGCTTTCCAGGGTCTGTGTTAACCCTGGGGATCAAAGCCGGGCATTCTGATATATGGGATGCAGGCAGCTTATTCCACATCATAACCACTAAGCTAAATGCTTGCTCCCATCCTGATTTTTTAAAAAAGATTTATTTTGCTTATTTGAAAGGCTAAGTGACAGAGAAAAAAAAGAGAGAAGAGAGAGAGAAAGAATGAGAATGTACTTCCATCTATTGGTTCATTCTCCAAATAGCCACAGCAGCCTGAGCTGAACCAGGCAGAAGCCAGGAGCCTAGAACTCCATCTGTGGGTGGCAGGATCCCAAGCCCTTGGGCTGTCTTTCACTGCTTTAGTAGGAAGCTAGATTGGAAGAGGAGCAGCCAGAACACAAGCCACCACTTTGCGTAGGAATGGGCATCGCAAGCAATGGCTTAATCCTGCGTGCCCCAGGGATGGCCAGGCCAGCCTGACTTGTAGAAAGACTAGAGATGGAAGATTTTTCTAAAAATCCAGCCAGAGGCTGGGGACGTGGCTGTGGCACCGACTTGGAATGCATTTGCTTGGACAGCGAGGGCTTGGAATGCATTTGCTTGTTTCTGAAAGGGCTTGAGCTAGTGACAGAGTCAGGCTGGGCAGAGAGCCCCTGCAGGCGGAGTTAAACAAATGTGGAAGAAAAAAAGCAGTGAAGAACATCTTCACTGTTGACTGCAGTCACGTGGCTCTGCAGAGAGCTTGGGGTGCAGGCAGTGCCTCCCTGAGGTGCTTCATTATTCTCTGGGGGACATTACCCAGTGCGGTTTCTCAGAGGGAAGCCAGGAAATCAGAAGAGTGGAAGGTTGGGCAGCCCCGGGGGGGCCCGTCCCTGTGTGACGGTGCCCTCCCCCGTGGACGGATGCCTTCGCTTGGTGGCAGGTGCTTTCCCTCTGGGTGTGTGGTCTCACTGCCCGAGGCTGGCCGTGGGGTGAGACTACACGGTGCTGTGTTGCCTCTGGTGTCAAGAGCTAGATTTGGGGAGCAGATGTGAGAGGCGCAGCATGAAGGGACTTCGGGAAGTGCCGAGTTCTGGGCAGGTGTGTGTGTGTGCGCGCTCTGAGCGATGACACAGGCAGCTGTCAGAGCCTGTAGGATTCTGAGGTGACCCTGGGGACAGAGACAATTGGCAGCAGAGGAACCTGTGGGAGACGAGGAATCTGGGTGAACAGTCACAGCTGTCTAGGGTGCTAAGTAGCACCTCTAAATTCCCAGATTACACAATCCAGTGCTCAAGCTCCCAAATCCATTTTCTTTTTAGTGGTTTTATTTGTGATTCTTGCATGAGAACCAAAGAAGTTTTCTTCCCCAAACATGCATCCATGTGCCCCATTTCCCGCCACCCCCCCCCCCACCGCCCCGCCGCCCCAGGGCCATTTGAGGCAGGTGAGTGAAGACCCCCTATCCAGGACCCTCTCCTTGACTCTCTTCTCTGCTTTCTCCCAGGTGAACCCACCGTACTATGTCCCGCTGGTCGAGCTGGTCCCGCACCCAGAGACATCTCCCGCGACGATGGACAGGACCTACGCGCTGATGAGGAAGATCGGACAGTCCCCCGTGAGGGTCCTGAAGGAGGTCGATGGCTTCGTGCTCAATCGCCTGCAGTACGCCATCATCTCCGAGGCCTGGCGCTTGGTGGAGGTACCAGTGCTGCGTTCCCTCCCCAACCCTGATGCCAGGCAGGGCAGTGGAAGCAGCACCCCAGAGCTGGGAAGGTCTTGCTCCTGAGTCCCAGGCCAAGCTTCGGGAGCAAATGGGCTCAAGCAGTGTATGCTGCTGCTCTCCTCCGTGTGCTGTTCCTGAATGCTCAGGCGTTACAGGTAGTGCTTGTTCCCAAGTACAAGAAAAATTGGATTTTGCATACATTGGAGTGGCCTGAAAGGATCCAGTTGGAATTCAGGAGCTTGAGGAAGAAATGAAGCGTCAGCATTGGATTTTTTTTTGGCAGTAGAGCTTGATTTTTTTTTGTTTTCTCACTGTGGCTCCTTTGACAGGACAGGATGCCACCTGTTTACATAGCATTTGCATAGTCATGAATGCTTAGAAGTCATCTGAAGGTGACTTAAGGATATAGAAGGATTGTGTGTGTCCTATGCAAACACTGTGCTGTCTCCTAGAGGAACCAGAGCTAACCAGAACCCCATGGATGTTGGGGTCCATGGGGGGCGGGGGTCTGGAGCCAGCTCCCCAGGCCCGTGAAGGAATGACTGACTATATAAATATATGACTAGCTTGATCCATTACTGGCAGGATTCTACACACAACAGTTAAGAAAGTGTGTTTTTTTGTGTGTGAAGGATGTGGTGCCCGGCTGGAGAGAGGTCATGGCAGCTCCAGGAGGTGGAGTGCAAAGGCTCAAGTCTGGGGCTTAAGCCATCAGGTACCCATTCTAGTTTCTGCCTGTACTGCAGAAATGGGGGACACTGGGAGATGAGGAGGTCTTCTGCAGGTGTGTGCACCTGGCAGGGCTGGCAGCTCCCTGCTGTGGCTTGGAGGAACCAGGAAGCTGGCTGGGCCCCACCTTCCTTGGGCATAGTGTTTCAGCTCCCGCAGCCCTGGCAGGTGTGCGTGACCCTCGTGCTCCGTGTGCTGCTGACATGTGTCACATCCCTGAGCGTTCATCCTCCCACCCAGCCGCCCTCACACTGGCCGCACGACAGCGTCTGTGGACTCACTGGTTAAATCCGCCTATTGTCTCTGAACCTGCAAGATGTGGCACTGGGATTTCCCGTGTCTGCTGGCAGCTTTCCCTTCTTAGTCATCATAGAATGCCTGTATGAGGCGGCGCTGGGGCATCTTAAACAGACACTGACTGACCAGTTTCTCCTTGGTGCTCCATTGACAATACTTCTCTGTAATAGGAGAATAATGTAACAGACCAGAAGAAAAATTCAGTAAAGCACTGTAAATATTTATTTGTTTGGCAGTGCCAGAGACAGAGAGAAGCAGAAAGAGAAAGAGATTGTTTATTCTCTGGTGGCCCCCCCAAGTGGCCACAGTGACTGGGGCTGGACCATGCTGAAGGCAGGAACCTAGAAGGCCATCTCCGCTTTCCACATGTGTGGTTGGCCCAAGCACAAGCTATTCTACTAGTTTCCATGGAATTGAAACGAGATCAGAACAGCCAGGAATCCGATGGATGCCCGGATACGGAATGTTGGTATTACCAGAAGCTTAACTTGCTGCACCACAACATGGGCCCCTGATTGTAGTGTTGTTTTGTTTTGTTTTGTTTTTTACATTTTGTTGGTGAGCTACTTTAGTGCTCCGAGTTCCTCTTGCCTTCACTGACCTGAAAGATGAGAGCCAGCTGCAGGACACTGACCAAAGGGAATTAGGTGGGAGCATTCGTACAGAACTGTGTCTGCAGAAATTGGTTCTCTCCCCACTTTCTCCAGATATAGGGAGAATAGAAAGGAGGATTGGGGGCAGTTATCTCATCCACTTTTCCCATTCCTTGACCCTTCCTGTCTAATTGGTGGTCCACAATGGCCTGCATCTTTCTGAACTATGTAAACATCATCCAAAATAAAATAAATCTATTTTTTTAAAGGAAAAACATGGTGGGGCCTGGTGCAGTTGGAAGCTCCAAGTGGGATTCTGGCATCTCCCTGGACCCTGGGAGCCACGCAGGAGTCCAGCTGCCCATCTCCCAGGAGTCCTGGCTTCACCCGGGGTCCAGGACACACTGCGTGCAGCTATTGGCTGGAAGCAATGTTCTTGCTTCTGGTGCTCAGGGGTTGCTAACCTCCTGAGAAAGCCGATCTGGTGTTGGCTGGTTTGGAAACTGGTGGGTCTGCAGTTCCTGTAAGGAACCAAGTGCTCTAATCTAGTAGAATACAGGTAGTGGCAAATCTCAAGGGTGCGACCGACACCAGCGAGTTGCCTTGGGTGAAGCTCTGGATCTGCTTGTTACATGCATTCATTTATATTTGAAAGGCAGAATTCCAGAAGCAGGAGGAGAGATGGAGGAGAGGGTTTCTGGTTTACACCCCAAAGGACTGCAATGGCTGGAGCTGGGCTGCGCTGGAGCCAGGAGCCTGGAGCTTCCTCTGGGTCTCCCACATGGGTGCAGAGGCCCAAGGACTTAGGCCATCTTTCACTACGTTCTCAGGCACACTAGCAGGGAGCTAGATTGGAAGCAGAGCAGCTGGGACGTGAACCAGTGCCCATATGGAATGCTGGCAAGGCAGGTGGAGACTTAATTTGCCATGCCATGGCTCCAGTTTGATAGATCATATGTTTCCAGGAGGATAAAGACACTCTACACATGATGAGGAGGAAGGCGCGGTTAGAAGCTGAAGGGACATCCTTTTTTTTTTTTTTTTTTTTAAAGATCTATTTATGTTTATTGGAAAGGCAGATACACAGAGAGGAGGAGAGACAGAGAGGAAAATCTATCTGTTGATTCACTCCCCAAGTGGCTGCAGTGGCCAGAGCTGTGACTATCCGAAGCCAGGAGCCAGGATCCTCTTCCTGGTCTCCCGCGAGATTGCAGGGTCCAAAGCTTTGGGCCGTCCTTGACTGCTTTCCCAGGCCACAATCAGGGAGCTGGATGGGAAGTGGGGCCACCTGGATTAGAACTGGTGCTCATATGGGATCCTGGCATGTGCAAGGTGAGGACTTCAGCCACTAGGCCACTGCACGGGCCCTGAAGCGGCAGTTTTTTTTTGAGGTTGGGTGTCAATAACACAAGGACAGCCCTGAGCTCCCAGGGTGGGGCATGCTGTCAGAGGGGGTATGGGAGAAGGGCGAAGTCTCTGTCCTGGAACCTCCTCTTGCCATCACAGCTTGGCCACCCAGAGGCTTCGGCAGGTGCAGGAGGGCCAGGGCTTCTGAACCTCCAGGAGGGCCCAGTTTCGTGGAGCTTCCAGGGCTGACAGACAGAGCCATGTCCAGTCCCACGGCTGCTGGAAAGAAGTATTTCCCACACATAGTGTACTAGCTACAGAGCACCTGCCACTTGGCAGTGCCCGGTGTGCCCGGCACAGTGCCAGCAGGTGGGTTGGTTTAGGGATACCTGACTTCACTGTGTACATTTCTTGGAAGAGAGCCCTGTGCCTCTCAGGCCATTTCCTGCTCAGATCCTGCCAGTCAGCAAAGGCAAGCACCCTCGCAGAACCCCACCCTTGCCCGCTGCAGGCATGCCCACGCCATGGTACAGTGAAGGTTCATGACGCCCCTCTGACTCACAGCTTCAGAGCCAGCAGAGCTCGAGTTGATACCTTGGGGTGTTTCAACACTTGAATGTAGAATTGGGGTGTTCCAGGTTTAACCACAAACCTTGAAACTGACCTATCGAAGGAGATGAACTAGGGGAATTTTACACGAAAATATTTTATACATTTTTAAATTCAAAAAAAAAAATCCAAAGGCCTTGTGTCAGTTGCGTTTCTTTGGGGTCAGGGGAGTGGAAGAAAAAGGCCCGGGCTGGACTCTACTTGCAGCCAGAGCACCAGCCTGCCCCTTGAGCCTTGATCGGCGAGGACAAAGTGGGTCTTGCCATGGGGGGTTGCCCTCTCCCCCGAGCTGGCTGTGTTAGTGTCTGCAATCACAGAGCTTGCCACTGTCCTTGAGCTGGGCACCCTCAGCGGTGTGGGCTGGGGCACTTGGATGGCAGGAGAGGACCAGGTGAGCGATAGCAGGGTGCTGACCCCCTAGCCTGTTAGCCCATGTGCCTCTGTCCGGGTGGTGGGTGAGCTGTGGGGAGGCAGGCATGACCATCCCTGTCGCGTGTACATGAATAGCTCTGTGCAAGCCATACCCAAGCGTGGATTTCCAGGGCTTCAACTCCAAGTGAGCTGGGTTAGGAGGGACAGTGTTCATAACAACGGCTTATTTTATATTTATATTCCTCCCAGCATGGATGGGGCAGTGCAGGCTGTTCCGCCACTCACGTTGATTGCTTGTCACTTATTGAAGTGTCCTTGCCTACGTGGAGGATCCCATTTGATCTTGGTGTGTCACTGTACATTTTTATTTTATTATTTTATCTTAAAGATTTATTTATTTTTATTGGAAAGGCAAATTTACACAGAGAAGGAGAGACAAAGATCTTCCATCCACCGGTTCACTCCACAAGTGGTCACCATAGCCAAGCTAATCTTATCTGGAGCCAGGAGCCAGGAGCCTCTTCCAGATCTCCCACATGGGTGCAGATTCCCGAGGCATGGGTCATTCTTGACTGCTTTCCGAGGCCACAAGTAGGGAGCTGGATGGGAAGTGGAGCAGCTGGGACACGAATCGGTGCCCATATAGGATCAGGTGCATGTAAGGTGAGGATTTAGCCACTGAACTATTGCACCGGGCCCATAACTGTATACTTTTTATTTCTAAAGATGTATAATTTTTATTGGAATGTCAGATTTACAGAGAGGAGAGACAGAGAGAAAGATCTTTCATCCACTGATTCACTCCCCAAGTGGCCACAATGGCAGAAACTGAGCTGAGCCAAAGCCAGGAACCAGGAGCCTCTTCCAGGTCTCCCACGCAGCTGCAGGGTCCCAAGGCTTAGGGCCGTCCTCGACTGCTTTCCCAGGCCACAAGCAGGGAGCTGGATGGGAATTGAAGCAGTTGGGACAGGAACCAGTGCCCATATGGGATCCCTGGCATGCAAGGTGAGGACTGTAGCCACTAGGCTA